GCCGTCTTCCATGTCATCAGCTGTGCTAAAGCATTCACCTCATCCGGATCAACCTACATTTTCCATAAAAGGATCCATAACAATTAAAGACAATTTCATGGCAGAGTCTAGATATATGACAACCATTCACATTTGTCGTAGAAGTGGAACTTAACAAAGTATGTATATACCTCTGGGTGATATCTGATTCCTTTCTTCACGGGGCCTCTAGCATTGTCATGTTGAACCCTGAAGCCAACAAATGAAGCCAAACTGCCATCGTCTTTCGGTATAGTACACTCAACCTGCACCAAAGTATATAGTTCAAAAGCAACGAAAGGAGAAAACTCAATAACCACATTAGTTTTAGGGTCTGAAATCTACCAATAATTAAGAGTAAGGGATATACAGAAGGGAGATTATATGCAAAATTACCTTGATTTCCCTAAATGGTATAAGTAAACTTTTCTCAAGCTTGGAGTCCAATCCCAAAAGCCGAGCAGCCAACTTAAAGTTTCTGTTCGTTGCCACTAATGCATTCATCTTTGCTCCTTCTTCAAGTGTCTGCCTCAGAAGCTAAAAGCAGCTACTTCAATTCGCTTCTCTAGCTAGCTATTATTACGAACCTAGATATAAGATGGAGAAACATACATCAGTTTGCACTCTATAACAATTTTTCAAGGTAAATGACCATTAAGGGATAACATTCAGGAACTTCAACCCTAGCATGCATATGCATATTATATATTTTATTATATATTTTATTTGCAGTACTTAATCAACCTGAAGATTCTCACACTCATATTACTTGATTCTGATTATAGCTGCATTAGTTATATACACAATTTAGATTCTAATTAAGCAGCAGCACTAAACAGTTCAACTTTAGTAAGTGCTCTAAAATTAATAGATTAACAAAAAAGAATATGGATAATTTATTGTGTTCATTTTCCTGCCATCTTAAGTGACCAGAAACTGAAAATTTCTTATCAATTGTGTTAATGCTGCAGCAATATATAGGATCAACAACAACAATAACAAAGCATTTTCCCACTAAGTGGGGTCGGCTAAATGAATCCTAGAACGCCATTGCGCTCGATTCTGTGTCATGTCCTCTGTTAGATCTAAGTACTCTAAATATTTACGGAGAAAATTCCAGTGAAGATTGGTTGAGGAAATTGACAGTGTCACTACTCGCCTTTGGAAAGATGTATTTTCTGGAAACCCTTTCAAAATGTTTAGGATCCGAAAACTTGTAATCAATTAGAGTGTGCCGATTAGGATGATTTGCCATCTAAGACTCACTTGGGAGTTGGGAGCGAAGTTATAAGTTGCAAGCTCTTGTAACGCAGTAATGAATTTGGATAATATTGGACATGGAATAAAATATCTCATGCACAGCAAGCTACAGCGACCATAAAAAAAATAAAAAATAAAAAAGAGATCTTAAGCAAAAACCATGAATCCAACTCAAAAATGAAATCTTCCGAATAACATCTCAAACCACAACCCAAATCAAAAGCACCAAATCTCACATCAAAAAAAAATTATACAAATTGACATATTGGTAGAAACCCAACAGATATTTTAGAGAGAGAGAGAGAGAGTGCCAGAGGGAGTGAGATATGATTGTACCTGGAAAGCAAAAAATAAATTATATAAATCAAAAGAAATCTGATCTAGGTCCAAGTCTCAGACTCTCAACCTCATAACCCTTTAGTGATCACTATAAGTTCACCTGTATAACACACCGTTGTCCGGAGATGCTCTTTCCATACTCATTGAGTAAAGCCTCTGTCGCAAAAAGTACTCCTCTTCCGGTTGCTGCATCTCTTCCTAGTGATCCACCAATCCTGATTTGCAAGAAAAAAAAAACAAACAAAATGCAAATAAAATTTAACTGAATGAAAGAGGACAATTCACTTTTGACAAAAAAAAAAAAGAAAAAAAAAACAAAGAAAAGAGGACAATTTACTGAAGCAACTTTCCATGATTTACTTACAATCATGACACAGAACATAAACATTTCACACTAACTGTCATTTTTAAAGTACAATGTTCAATTATATCATGATGTTAAGTACCAGTCCCAAATTTGATAGCATTCCAAATATCTGGTTCCTTGTCGTTTAACAAATCAATGCACTTGGCATAGCAACCACCTTTAATGTTTGACACACCATTGTTGCTCCAGCAGTGCTCATCATCTCCAATCAGATACTGATTATGATCCGTAGACAGAGTCGTCTTCCCAGTGCCTGCAACAAACATCCCAGGATCAGTTACACAAATACGAAAGAAACTGAAACACAAAAGATTGATGTATCCATTGCCAATTGATCATTGCACATAAAATTATCATGATTCATACCTCTGCGTCGATATGGAATTTTATAAACTGGACAAATGGAACCCGATTTCATCGATTTCACGGTGCAAGTGCTGTAAAAAATAAGCAAACACTGGCAATATGATCAAGCACATTCCAAGTATTAATACATCCAAATAAAACCTAACTTCACATGCGAATAACAATGAAGGTAGATATTACTTGCAGAAGAGATTATTGCAATTGAGTGAATCCGCAGAACTGAGTAGACTCAAACTGCAAAACAGATGGGGAAAAATCAAACCCATTAACAGAGTAAAGAGAAATTTAAATCTTTAAACAAATTCTAGACAAAATCATGTAAAGGGTCTGTTTTGGCTACCAAGAAACTTAGTATACATTTGAATATTATTACATTTTAATACAAAAATTTAGCTTTATTCAGATGGGAGAGATCAAAGGTTGCATCATTCAGCTTCACACATGGCCACAACACAATTTCAAAAACTCTATCATATCAAAGTCACATTCTTTATCAAACTCCCACTCCGGAATCAAGCAGTGGTTGATAACGGACAAAAAGAAATACAAAGTACAAAATATAATCAATATCATCAGTCCAAACTTGCTGCAAAGGGTGAGGGGTCAACCATGTGACTTTTTGCCCCTTAACCTCAGCCTGCATGAACAAACAACGGAAGAATTCATACCCAAATAAGACAATAACATAAAATGCACAGTTGAAGATTTGATAAGCAGTGTACAGTACATAACCAAACCTAATAATATATGGCTTTAACAGATACAAAGACTTTATGCAATTTATGAGTCCGAGATATGTAAGCTTGCCATTCATGACTCAACCTGATACGAAAGCAACACCAGTATTAAGGGAAGATTCCACAAAACGATTAACTCCTCATCATTTCATACTTCAGAACTCCTTTTATTTAGAAAAATTCAAATATCTACCTTCGACAGTTATGAATGCGTTTGACATCAATTCTGTCCTCAATAGCAGGTAATGCCGCAAAGAGGTGAACCATTGTGAGGCAGTCATCAATATCTCTGAGTGCGTCAACGAATTTTGGATATCTGCAGTTCCAAACATACCAAACAACAACTGTCAGAGGTTCTACATACAATAACAGACACGCAACTAACTTTTTAACAGAAAGAAAAACCCAACAAACCTCTGCAAAATAATTCTATCTAATTTGTAAGTGGGTCTTCTCTCTTTCAGGAGAGCAGCCCGTTCCTCGTTTTTCTTCGCATCGGCTTTCTTTTCTTTCGTATGCTCTTATCTCTCTCAACCACTCGAGTAGCAGTTCATGCTGAATGAAAGAGACATCCTTCAAGTGATAATAGGTATGGTGATTTCCTTTCACCTTTTTCTTCGGCTCCTGAGGGAACACGCCCTTTAGAATACACAATTTCCTATAATTTCCAACAGCATGCACATGTATTAAGCAATCATACAATAATTCAACCGATAAATGCGAATAATGCACAAACCCTAAATTCAAGAAAACATCAAAACCCCAGAAAATAAAAAGAAAAAAAAACAAATTCTTTCAGAAAAATCAAAGATTAAAACAATTAGCAACTTAGATCCAATAATCTGATTGTTTCCCGGAAAAAAAATAGCTTGCAATTATTGAACCAAGACAATTTTGCAGCGCTAATGAAGAGAATTATAGTTTTATTTACTTGTGACTAAATCTTTGTTGTTTTGTGGTAATTTGTATAGCGGACAGCCAAACAATATATATAATTATTCAAACATTTTTCTGGTGCAGCTGTTGAAGGGCGACTCCTGCTTTTGAGTGACTGAAAATTCTACAGTGACTCGAATAAAGAAATTGAACTAATAATAACAAAGAGTTGGAATCATGATACTCACCTAGACCAACTCAAAGAGAACATTTTGATCAGCTTTGATCTCGTTGATGAAGCCCCGCCAAACTTCTTGAGAGTCTAATCGCCACAAAACATAAGAAATTCACGGATTAGAACCACCAGAAACACACAAAAGACGACCGCAGATCACAAAAAAAAAACCCGAAAACTTTACGAAACAGAATCTATAAAGATTAGAAATGGATTACAAAAAGCAGAAATCTTATTTGGCATGTATGAAAATGATACACACATTCTTAGCCAATCAGCATGAAAAAGGTGTAGAAAACTAATTTAATTTGTTAACTTTGGACAACTGGAGAGATGAAAGAACTCTTAGTTTTTACTATAAGTATGACAACCATGTGATTTCATTGTTAATTGGGATTGATGTGTGTCATTAGGATTGCCAAAATTAGAGATCTTAGAGTTTGGCAGCCAATGACCGAATTGGACTCAAGTTTATCAACATTTGATTCAACTAAACTAAATTGGATACGCTCATTAGCATAGAAATATGTATACCATATGACAATATTGAATCAAGTTATTTGCAAAGATTTAAAATGCAATGTAAAAAGGAAAAAATTTATTTTATATGTAATAAAATGATTAACAAATTTTTTATTGAGCAGTATAAAAAAGGTATTAAAACCTAACCTAATTTATTAAGTTTGGAAAAATTGGACAGATAAAAGAAAGCTTTTAATCATTACTATAACTAAAATAACTATGTTATTTCATTATCAAATAGGATTCATACGTGTAATCAGGGTTAAGAAAATCACTGATTAAAGAATCTGCCAGAAATCATCAAATTGGACTTGAACTTACCAATTTCTGATTCAAATAAACTAAGAAAAGGAGTTGGAATCAAACTAACCTCTGTTTTCTATATGCAGCAAACTGCATCTTGTTTTTGCCCTTGTTAACAACATATCTTTCGCTCTGTACACACCAAAAAACAGTAAACACCTCATTCATTACTAACAGCCATTTCAATCAATTAATTATTTAGACAAATTTTTCAACGATTCCGAAGCTCAGACAAAAATTGCATGAGAAAATTGAGATTATATGCAATTGGATGTCAAAGAACCTGAAATACCATATATCCAATATTTAGTGCTTACACCTAAAAACTAATCTTTATATATACTTTAAAATAATACAGATCAATGTAATCTAAAACATTGGAAATGCATATCAGTCCAAGCCAAGGTCTCAAGTTCTCAGAGTGGGGAATTACTGATTAGAACAGTTAATTCTCTGCTCCTTTTTGGGTATGAACTAATTAGCATAGTAGCCATAAAAATACCAAACAAAAGCTCAATAATTTATGCAATTTGGTCAAATTTTATACAATTTCTAGCAAAACCCAAAACTCAATAATACAAAAGGAACCCAATAGATGATTAAAGCAATTTTATACACAACTTATGCAAGTCCAAAGAAACGCATTTGATCAAACTTACTGAATACTGAAAAAAAAAATTACAATCAAAGTACGGATTAATAACTACCTCAACAACTAACAGAGCCAAAGCCAAACCCTAGAGCTTCGAAGGGCAGAGACGATCACAGAGACAAGAATAGTCCTTATTCCTTCCCACTGCTGCTGCTGCCACTTTCTCTCTCTAAAAACCAATTGGAAATTGTTTATAAAGAGACAGAGAGGAAAGGGCTATGATGATTGGATGAAAGAAGCATGAAAAACTAAAAGACATGTAAGCTTGAATTCGAGTCCCAAATTGAAAATATAAGGGAGGAGTGTAAGGGTGGCTTACCGAGGTCAGGAGAGGTGAGTCTCGTAGGAGAAGTCGACGAACAGTGGCAGGAGCCAGTGCACAGTGAAAGGCCTCGCCTGTGTCTCCTGAGCAGAACAAAGTGAGTGATAGTGGTTCTGTGAGATGGAGCGAGTGGTGGTGGTGCTGTAGTCATGTTTTGCCGGAAAATGGAGGCGTTGGTGCGCCTCGGTGTTTACAGAGAAAAGAAAGGGGAGTCCAGGGAGCTAGTGGTTGTTTGATGGAGTTGAGGCTCGCCGGAGCGGCGAGTTGTGATGTGGACTCAGGCCTCTTGGCCTCTGGGTTTTACGGAGAAGGGGAAGATGGTTTAGGGTTGAGAGAGATGGAGGGACGGCTAGGTTTTAGAAAAGATGAAGAAGAATGGGGGTGAGCGGCGCTGGGGCTACAGGTTGAGGGAAATGAAGAGAGAGCAAGAAGAAGTCGAAGGCAGTGAACCCTACGGACAAATTTACCCTTCTAAGTTCTAATAATTACCCTTCCAACCCAGCCCAAATCTGATGGGTTCCTTGTAAATCAGGTGAAATCAAGTGGCAAACAATTGACTGTAGCCATGAACAGTAAGGAACAGTGCCAATTGCAATGCTTTCTTTAGACTAAAGTAATTTCATTGTAGTGTTAGAAGAGAGATGTAGAGGAAATGTATAACAAAAAACACGCAAAATGAAAACTAAAAATCAAAAAACATTTTAAGCAATTGTTTTCACCGTCAAGAGATGTAGATCTTGTTTCTTCTCCTCCCTTATACCACCATTCTTCATCTATTATTTCCCCTCATACTTTGTAATGACCCGTCCCCAAAAATTACGGTTTTTTATAATTTTAAAATGTGAAATTACAAAAATACCCTTCAAGGCAAATACATTGACTTTTGTTGACCGCCTTGTCGTGTCACGTAAGATCCATTCCCTTAGAATATTCTTGTAGTACTCTTCGCTATGAACGCATGGGCGTAAACGAATGCAATTTGGAGTTATAGCGAATGAGTTATTAACGAACGAAGTCGAGGACAAAATGGTCAATTGATCATTTTCTGGAATGCTCCAGATTGTTAGAGCAAAATCTAGGAAGCCACGTGTGTGGCTGTGATGGAAAGGAAATGAGAGATACGGAAGGTGCGGCCCAATCAGAAGAGGGGGAAACGGAGATAACCAATGAGAATGAGGGAATAAGGGGAAATAAGGGAGAAGGAGAAGAAGGGGATCGGACCGGGATCCCCCTTTACCCAGCCTTCAACCAGACTCAGACTCGGACTTCCCCGAGCCTTTTATGATGATATCCGTCATTTTTTCGGTGAATCATGACTCTCCAACACCTGCAAACATCATCATGCCTCTCCTCATTCGTTAATCACCCAAAAATTCGACCAGATTAGGCATGTTTCGTGGTGTACTGCGGTGTCGACACCGCAGTGTTCTTAGTGCCAGTCCGCCAATTTCTAAAACAAATTCCCTCGATCTCTACCACCATTAGACTCTCCTTGAACCCAGGAACAAACCTCAACCAACCATAGGCGACGGAGCATTGGAGAAGTCGAATCAAAGCCACCCATTTTTAGGGTTTTCGGCGGGTTCGAGACGAATTAGAGCTTTTCTAGCCAAATTGGTCTTAGTCACAGGTATGAAACTTGCTTCACTCATTGAGATCTTCATTCCTGTAAAATTTCAGAATTTTTGGAGTTGTTCGATTTTCTGGCGAGTCAGGGCAGCCGACTACCACGTGCGACGACGCGTGGGGGAAAATCTGAGGTCCCTCCTTAGGTTTTTCGACGTGCCGGATCCGAATTTACCGTCCATTTTCCCAAATTATAACGTTTTAGTATAGTTCTGCTAAATGATCCTTAATTGTGTTTAGATGCGTTGGCAGGAAGCGACGTCATCCTCTCTAGATCGAGCAGTTCTCGAGCAATAAAATCAATGAGCAAACCCCTTCCTAACTTATATGTTTTCATAAAATAGTAGCCTAGCATGCATTATGTATTTCATGATTTGAGTATGTTTTATATTATGCTTCACGAACTTCTATAATTACAGTTTACGAAATATTCATGATTTTATCGAAATTACGTTTACGAACAGTTATGAATTATTGGATTTGCATATATGGATTTCTATTGATCTCAAATATGACTTATATTATGGATTTAAAAATATGATTTATTTTATGGATTTATGAAATGAGGTTTTGAGCTTTCAAGCTCCAGTGTTTGATACAAGATTTTGAGATATGTTTTTTGTACTTTCTTAGTGGGTTTTCATACGACACATCCGTACACCACAGGTATAGATGTCTATGGCCATAGGACACAGATGATGGAGGAGTGAGATATGATATATTATATACCCCCAGCTTCACTGCCAAAAGTAGTGTTAGACAGCTTCACTAGCCACGGCTAGTGTCAGTGTGGATGTATGTTATTTTTATACAACTTCACCTTCGGGTGATAGACAGGTTATTCAGCTTCACCTTCGGGTGATGGAAATGTACTGCCTTCGGGCGACTATGATACCCCTAGTTGAATACAACACAGATACTATTTACGATGTTTCACATGTTTTTCATGGCATGCTAAGGTTTTTCATAAAACCTATATGTAGTATTATATATATGTTTTCAAAACAGGGGGTTAGTATGTTCTAAAATAAATTGGTTTTCGTACTATTTGTATTATTATAAATTATGGTCCACTCACCTTTTCTGTTTTTGCGCCCTCTCAGGAGTTAGGATCGAGACACATGATCCCGGCGTCAGGACTCTACAACATAGGTATTCTCGAGTCTTCTCAGTACATAGGTATCATTTCTTTGTTTGTATCTTTTCGTAGTAGTTATATGCTTTGAAAACGTTTCTGCTTTGGTATAATAGTTCCAACTACATATCTTGTAGTTGTATGCATGTTTAAATGGCTTCGTCACCCCCGGGTGTCGGCCATCACATACCTACCCTCATATGTGGAGATATCGTGGTTGGGGCGTGTCACCCTTTCCCTATATCTTGAGCACAATACGTGAAAACTATTTGGAGGTTTATATCCTTGGCTCAGTACTTAAATTTACGTAAATGAAAACAGCCATTTCCAATGAATTGCAAAAGGATAAAGAAGAAAACTTTTAAAAAAGGGAAGAATTAATACTTTGACACTGAATGTCAATTCCTTGCCGCTTGTATTCCAAACCAATACATTACGAGAACAGTGATATGTACGTGCCAATACCGGATTTATGTGACAAGTTTCAAATGTTATAATAAGCTAAGACTAATTGGGCATTCCCGAAAGAGAATAACTTTTAAGTGTGACTGTCACTCCGTTCATCACCGTCTAGTATTAGCAATTCACTCACATTAAATCACGTTTGATGATAAGGCTAATCCAATTGTACCCCATCCTAAAATATAAAAAAAATACAAAACAAAGGCTTAATAAACTACTTTAGATGCAGCATAAATAGTGTAAATAGGGTAAGAAAGGAGTGTCTCAGAGGAAGCAGAACCAATGTTAACAATTGCTCCCTTCTTCTTCCTCAGCATAACTGGAAGCACTGCCCTAGTGATCCACGTGGCACCCTCCATGTTCACCTTCACAATGCTCTCCATCAGCTCCAAATCAACCTCCTGAAAAACCTTGCATAAGGGTAAGCCACCCAGCGTTATTTACCAAAATGCCCACATCAATCCCCTTTATTCCTTCCTCTATCGCATTAGCAATTTCCAGCCCACTAAACTTTGCCAAATCAATGGCAATATCCTTGTTGTGAATTTTTTTACCATATTTTACGTGTATTTCATTGGCGGTGGCTTCGAGCTTCAAAGGGTTTCAACCAACTAAAACTACATTAAGATCCTTTGAAGCCATTTCGAAGGCTAGGGATTTTTCAATCCCGTCAGTGGGCCCAGTGATGAGAGCCCACGAGCCATACTCCTTGAGATTCTTTAGGGGTCTGAGGAACAAGAGCCAGACCCATGTGAGAAAATTGATGAATGATTTGCAAAGAGAGATGAACCCTAGAGTGCTTACTGCCACTAGGAAAAATTGTTGGAATTCCATTGCCAGCAATTCCAGTAGAGAATTTGGTAGGGTTTCTGGTTTATAATAGGAGCAGTCAGCGAGAAGGAAAATTCATAAGAGGAAAAGGGAAAAGGAATAAAGTTAAGACATTCGATTTTTCATTCATACTCTCCCAAATGGTGAAAGTTTGTTCTTATACAACCCTAGGATGTTGGAAAATATTATTATTTAGATTTATTTTAATATTTGGTATTTTGGGCTTAGCCCGTTAGTATTAGATTTTCGTTTCCTTGCCTATTAGGGTTAGGTTAGTTTTCTATATATATGATACTTTGTAACTCTATAGAATAACAAGTTATTCACAATGTAGTCTCTTAGGTTTTTTGTAACCGTTCCGGCATTCTCGTTTGTTTAATAATATTTTTATTATTCTTGTTAGTCTTGTTCATTGCGCACTCTGATATTCAACTTGGTATCAGAGCAGGTTTGATCCTTCGGGATTTAATATGCTTCTGTTTGCTCGTATCAGTTTGTTTGTTTTTGGATTTCGATATTAGTTGTTGGTAGTCTAAACTGCATCTGGAGCATCTGCACCCTTCACGTTCCTGCACTCGCATCGTTGCACTCTTGTGTTTTGCAGGTTCTTTGTGGAGAAGACTGTAGAAAAAAAAAAAGGAAAAACGAAACAAAAAAAGGAGGAGGAAAAAGAAAGAAACTTTAAAGAAGATCCCAAAGAAAAAAAAAAGGAAAAACGAGACAGAAAAATGAGGAGGAAAAAGACAAAAGGAAAATAGAAGAAAATGCTTTGTTTTTTGAGGTTTTGACTTTGTGCCCACACGGGCAAGAAAAAAGTATTGGTATTGGTATTGGTGACATTGGCATTGGTATTGGTATCGTCATCAGCATCGGTATCGGTATCGGCATTGGCATTGGCATTGGCATCGACATTGGCACTGGAATTTGAAGTCTTGCATCCGCATCTACTTTGGCAAACTCATGTCGTGTAACGCCATGAGTTTGACGGGGGTGTTAGAAAATATTATTATTTAGATTTGTTTTAATGTTTGGTATTTTGGGCTTAGCCTGTTAGTATTAGGGTTTCGTTTCCTTACCTATTAGGATTATGTTAGTTTTCTATATATAAGGTACTTTGTAACTTTATAGAATAACAAGTTATTCACAATATAGTCTCTTAGGTTTTTTGTAGCCGTTCTGGTATTCTCGTTTGTTTAATAACATTTCTATTATTCTTGTTAGTCTTATTCGTTGTGCACTCTGATATTCAACTTAGGAGTGCCCACAATTGGAGAAATTTTTAGTTGTGATAGGAATGCAAGTGGTACACCATGTGTTTTAATATGAATGCTAGGAAATTTTATTTTTTAAGTTATTAATTTTTTAGCACACATATCCCACCATTTGTTTAGTGACACGTTGTGTATCATCCCGTGTGCCGATAAATATCTCCCACAATTGGCCGGTAAATATCTCCCACAATTGGATCACATCACAGCTTCCCATACCGTTGGATTGGATGAAACCAACTCTTCCAAAAGAAAAAGACAAAATACCATAAAGGCTAAA